AGATTTCACCAGGGGGAGACCAGGTTTCATGGTCCGTGACGCATTTTTCATGGCCATGAATTTGGTAGGGCCCTGTTTATGGGAGTTAGGCACCTAAATACCTTTGAGGATCTGGGTCAGGGTGTTTGGGCCTTGATCTGTCCCCATCATCATTTATGACAGCATGTCATGGCACGATCATGCAACATAGAAATACAGAAATTGCCTTTTTGCATCAGATACGTGATCTGTTCAGTCCAGTATCTTGTCTTCAACACTAGTTAGTACCTAATACTTCAAAGGAAGGTGCAAGTAACCCAGTAGCAGACTTGCACTTGGAAATAACTTGCCAACGGGGGAAGTTTCTTCCTAATGTTCATCAGATAGTGGTTGATGCCCTGAGGCCTGAGATCCCTTATAATATTTTTATCCTTTCCAGTGTAACTTTGGCCGCTCTCTTTAGCCATATTAATGTCTAGTCCTTTTATCTAAATCCTGCCAAGCTCTGAATGTCACGCCGAATGACTTGACACCCAGGCTGGCATCAAGCTGCTGGCTCTGTGTTACTAAAATGATGACAAGTATGGGAAGATTCTCACAAGCTGCTCTGGAAGGTTCATACAGTATGGCAGACTCTGTAAACTTTACCATGGATAGTGCACTGGGAATGGAGGCAGGACATAAATCATTTCCCAGAGGGATGCTGTCATCAATTTGCCATTGAAAGAAGTTCCTCTAAAGCATGTACGGTAGGAAACAATTCTGTGCTAGTCCATAGGAGAGCGTGAGGGACTAATTAATACATCTCACCAGCCTCTTAATTTAGATCAGGGATCCGCAACCTTTCAGAAGTGGTGTGCCGAGTCTTCATTTATTCACTCTAATCTAAGGTTTCGCATGCCAGTAATACATTTTAACGTTTTTAGAAGGGCTCTTTCTATAAGTCTATAATATATAACTAAACTATTGTTGTATGTAAAGTAAATAAGGTTTTTAAAATGTTTAAGAAACTTCATTTAAAATTAAATTAAAATGCAGAGCCCCTCGGACCGGTGGCCGGGACCTGGGCAGTGTGAGTGCCACTGAAAATCAGCTCGCTTGCCGCCTTCGGCACGCGTGCCATAGGTTGCCTACCCCTGATTTAGATGATTCCTGCACATTGGAATTGGACCTGATGCACATGCGACATCTGGAGGATTTGAGCTGTAACTGCAGCAGTGGCACCGTAGTCTTAATTACTGAGAAGTTTAGAAAATTTCCCTACCACACAAACAATGCAAACTAAAAGTACATTCACCGGTGAGGACTGTTCCATGGAGTTCATTCCCCTAGCTGCTCTCTTTCTACATCTTGGGCAGTCTGATGTACTCTGTGCCACTTTCCAGCGCTTTTTGCAGCACAGCCCTCCTAGATAAATAGAGTCCAACAACAAGTGATTTCTGACTCCACAGGTCTCACTTTGGACATACCCACATTTCTCTGGTTTTCCTATGGATTTTACACCTTTAATACAAATCTCTTTAAATGTTTGTGCTATTCAGTTCAATGGAGCGCTGCGTGAGCACTGGCCTCCACTTACACAAAGTAGCTTATAGGATTGGGGCCTAATAACAACACAGGAGCCTGCTAGCAAATGGTAAAAGGGATCTCTTTGGGGCCGAGCCATGCACCTTGCACAAGGGGGTTTGGGACTTAGGGAAGGAGAAAATTTAAACTCAGTCAGGCTCAAGAGGGAAATAAGTGAGAAAAGAAAGCATGCCAATAAATCTCTGCAGAAACAGCAGCCAAATTTGCCATCTAAGTGAGGTTCTTTCCATTTTCCCAAAGGCCTCCTGTCTCTGGGGGAAGTTGTGATGAATCTGAAAGCCGCAGCTGAAGACCTTGGGTGGGTGCTAATGGAGGGGGAGGGGCTATGGGTTTTCACCTGGCTCTGCAGAAATTGTAATGTGGAGGTCTGTCCAATCCCACCTGCATGCAAGGTATAAAGGGATCAGCCTGAGAAAACATAGCTGCCTTATTGCTTGCTGGAAACCCATTAGCATGGGTGCAGTGTTGGTTTCCTTTGGGACTTGTGTGCTTCTGGGTGTTCTATTGCCCTATTTCTCTGATTTTGGGGGTTCAGGGTGATGGGAGAGATCAGGGGATTTTAGAGGACCTTAGCTTGCAGGTCTGTGGCCAGGGAATCATAGAATCATAGGACTGGAAAGGACCTTGAGAGATCATCTAGTCCAGTCTCCTGCACTCATGGCAGGACTAAGTATTATCTAGACCATCCCTAACAGGGGTTTGTCTAACCTGCCCTTAAAAATCTCCAATGATGGAGGTTCCACAACCTCCTTTGGCAATTTATTCCAGTGCTTAACCACCCTAACAGGAAGTTTTTCCTAATGTCCAACCTTAACCTCCATTGCTGCAATTTAAGCCCATTGCTTCTTGTCCTATCCTCAGAGGTTAAGAAAAACAACTTTTCTCTCTCCTCCTTGTAACAGCCTTTTACGTACTTGAAAACTGTTATCATGTCCCCCCCTTAGTCTTCTCTTTTCCAGACTAAACAAACCCAATTTTTTCAACTTTCCCTCATAGGTCATATTTTCTAGACCTTTAATCATTTTTGTTGCTCTTCTCTGGATTCTCTCCAGTTTGTCCACATCCTTCCTGAAATGTGGCGCCCAGAACTGGACACAATATTCCAGTTGAGGCCTAATCAGGGCGGAGTAGAGCGGAAGAGTTACTTCTCGTGTCTTGCTTACAACACTCCTGCTAATACATCCTGGAATGATGTTTGCTTTTTTGCAACAGTGTTACACTTTTGACTCATATTTAACTTGTGGTCCACTATGACCCCCAGATCCCTTTTCACAGTACTCCTTCCTAAACATACCAGAAATAGTCCATTTTCCATGTGGGCCATTGGTAAGCCTTCCAAACCTTCAGCGAGGAGTGGGGCCCCAAGGCCAAAAGTTCTGTTTGCCAAATCTAAAAGATGACCCTGAGTCTACTTAAACCCAGCCTTTTATACCAAATGCCTTGTTTTGTCTCCCTGCCTCCTGAAAACAGGAAAAACCTTCCTGCTGCCTATTATCCAAGAGGTCAAGCTTCAAAGCCAACCTTGGGGTTTTGCATTAATTGCACCCATGTGATACAAAGAGCTATGTATCGGGGGTAGCCGTGTTAGTCTGTATCCACAAAAACAACAAGGAGTCCAGTGGCACCTTAAAGACTAACAGATTTATTTGGGCATAAGCTTTCATGGGTAAAAAACCTCACTTCTTCAGATGCAACTGAAGAAGTGAGGTTTTTTACCCACGAAAGCTTATGCCCAAATAAAAGAGCTATGGATATTCCACAGCTCATACTGTCTGGCCTATCGTCATAGAATGGCTTTTTGATTTTTTTCCTATGCTGTCAATGTAAAATACAATCTAGTCCCCAGAGATACTGTATGTGGCTGCAGTATCTGTCCAGGGTTGCCAGATATCCGGCTTTCGACTGGAATGCCCGATCGAAAAGGAACCCTGGCAGCTCTGGTTGGCGCTGCCGACTGGGCCGTTAAAAGTCCAGTGAGCAGCGCAGTGGGGGCCTGGGGCTAAGGCAGGCTCCCTGCCTGCCCTGGCTATGCGTTGCCCACAGAAGTGACCGCCAGGTCCCTGCGGCCCCTAGGCGCTGGGGTGGTCAGGGACTGGGATGCTCCGCACGCTGCCCTTGCCCCCAGCTCCAACTCTGCAGCTCCCATTGGCAGGGAACCACGACCACTGGGAGCTGCAGGGGGTGGCGCCTGCGAAGGCAGCGCGAACTGCGCAGCACCGCTTGGCCACCCAACCCTGCACCCCAACCTCCTGCCCCAGCCCAATGAAAGTGAGTGAGAGTAGGGAAGAGTGAGCAACAGAGGGAGGGGAGGGGAGTGGAGCGAGTGGGAGGCAAGTCTCGGAGAAGGGGCGAGGCAGAGCTGTTCGGTTTTGTGATTAGAAGTTGGCAACCCTATCTGTCACAGCTAGCTCTGGGGGAAACAGTGTCAGCGACACACGCACACATACACACACTCATGAACAATTTGTGTCACGCTCCTATGGAGCAGTGAATTTAGTGCCAGAGGAATGTTGCGGTTGACATATATGGTGAGTGTGGCTGTAGGGAAGGGTTGGGCTGATGCACACTGTCAGAGAGGATGTTGATTCCAGAGGATGTGGGGGGGAAGGTTTTAGTACAGTAATGCCTGAGGCAGGGGGTAGCCAATAGGAGGACCACAGGCCAAATCTGCACCTCCAGATGCTTTTAAAAGGACCTTGAAATCTTTTTATTTACTAATTATTATCAGATTTTTTTTAATTATTTTCTCTGGCGGCTGGACCTTGACCAAAAATAATTGACTGACTATCCCTGGCCAGAGGTGAGTGGGCTGGTGTTTTGGAGTTGGTTCCAGGGGGAAGGGTTTGGGTGTCGCACACAGCGATCAGGGCTGTGTGTTCCGGAGGGGAAGGGATCAGCTGACGCACACAGCAAGCCGAGCTATTGATTCAGGGGAAGGGTATGAGTGATGCACAGGGTGGTCAGGGTTGTTGGTTCCGGGTGAGGGGGGGCCGTGTCGCTGCCCTGCCATCGTGCTGCGCGCCGAGGGCCGGTTCTGGTATGTCCGCGCTAGGCCCCGGGCTACGGGGGGTGCGGGCGGAGCCGGACTCTGCGGGGACCGGCCGGGCTCAGCAGTGGGCGGGGCTGCGGGTATTTCGGTCTGAGCGCCCGCTGCTTTCAGCCTTGCGCCGGGCGGGCCCCCGATCGAGCCGTTCCAATCCCCGCCAGGGCCGCGCTGCCAGCGCCGGGGGCTGCGGCCGGGGGGCGCGCTGGGCCGGTTGTGCTGGCTGCTCCCGAGCCGCGCGGTCCCGTCCTGATACGCTCTGGCGCTTTCCCCCGTTTTCTTGTAGCTACGATAGCCGGGCCGGCAGGGAGACTCTCCGTGCCAAAGGAGAGGTCTTCAGGAGGAAGGTGTTGGAAAACAGGCTTCATAATGGAAACTGTTGCAATTTCAACCTTGCTATAATTGCTGCCACCTAGGATAACTGGAAAAGTAATGACACCGTTCAAAAGTTGCCTAAGTATTTCCAGTCTGATTTCGGTAAATAAAACGCTTTTGCGATGTTTTGTTTTTTAATACCTCTTAACAGAAAATTGCACTGTGCAGGCGCAGTATAGCAACTTTTTTTGTGTGGTTTTAATCACCATTTAATCATCACTAAGCCTGAAGGTGTGTAAGGACTGAGCTAACGGGCTCCCTATCTTGTAGCCCAAATGGAGGGGCGTCCAGTGGCATCAAACGCTTTTTCTGTTTATTTAAAACCAAAAATGTTTCAGAAAAAATTGTTAAGAGAACATTAATATTCTATGGTTTAAACACCTAAAATTCAAGATAGGCTAGTTATCTAGGCTCCTCATACAATCCTAACTCTGCCCCTTGTGTGTGTGCATTTCAATATAAGTTTTAATTACATGATATTGTGTAATAAAGTTGACATGGTTGTAGAAAAATTGTGTCTATTTTGGGGAGATGTGCATTACATGAGGCAGCACTTGTTTTTTCTTGATCCTCAGAGGTTTCAGGCAGTCTGTCTCCTGGTGACTCTTAGGACTCCTGTTCTGGGAAAGTGCATCTGTTTGTGTTAATCAGCATTTAGACAGTAGTGACATTTTGGGCAGGATTTTCCTCAGCCACTTGGGTGAATTGAGTGTGTGAATCCTTGGTTGTAAGGAAGATGGGGGTCACAATTTTTAATATCAATTCAAAAATTATAGATACACAAACTCATTATGGGGTCATCTTGTCCTTATTTCTACTTTATTTCTCTCCTAGACTGGCCTTTGGGGGTGTTGAAGAAAAAATTAATGTTGTTCAACATAGTGTAAGCTGTTCAGAAGAAAAGTGGAGAATTCGATGTAAGTTTTATATTTCTGCTTCTGCATCATGATGTATTAGATTAGAAGGGTGTGACTGTATAATGTCTCCCATTGGCAAGGGGGAGGGATAGCTCAGTGGTTTGAGCATTGGCCTGCTAAACCCAGGGTTGTGAGTTCAGTCCTTGAGGGGGGCAACTTAGGGATCAGGGGCAAAGTCCATACTTGGTTCTGTTAGTGAAGGCAGGGGGGGCTGGACTCAATGACCTTTTAGGGTCCCTTCCAGTTCTATGAGATAGGTATATCTCCATATATTATTATTATAAAACATTCCTGGTCTACAATGTTAAATTAAGCCAAATGCTTATTTTATTAGACTTCTCTAAATGTAATGTGAATTAGAAGCACAATGCTTAACATGTGCATAGTGCTTTCCATCTTTAAAACATTGAACAAATATTAAGACTCACAACCTCTTTAAAGTTGGTACTGCAGATATGGCTTATCCTCATATTTGCAGGTGGGAAACTGAAGCAAAGAGATGCAGTGACTTGCTCAAGGTCACTCACTGAGAGTATGTTTAAACTATGGAGACTGCATGGATGTAGCTGTGGCGCTGTAACTATGCTGGCATAATCCCATAGCATAGACGCAGCCTACACTGATGAAAGGGGTTTTTCTGTTGTCATAAGAATACCACCTCCCCAAGCGACAATATGTGCATCTTCACTGGGGTTTAGGTTGGCGTAGCTATGGCATTCAGGGGTGTGGATTTTTCACAGCCTTAATTTTAAGTGTAGACCAGGCCTTAGTTCGTGGCAGAGCCAGAAATAGAACCCAGGAGTTCTGGCCTTTGGCCTCCAGGCTCATTCTACATTAATCAAAATGTAGAACTTGGATTATTTTACCAAAATTGATTTTTGGTTTCTGAGTGACAATTCATACAAAGGTAACTATTTTTCATAAAACCCAGCCATTTGTGAGTTCTTGAGTCTCTGAGTTAAAGTAGGTGAAAGGAAGGGTGTCTTTATTTGTAAACATTTTGTAAGTTATATTTGTTTTTTAAAAGTGAGTTAAATGACAAATGTTACCTGTCACTTCATTTACAACCCCAAGCACTTAAGAATGAAAAAATTAATAGCTGCAAAATATTGTAAATCTTGCTCCTACATATATGAGAAAATAAATATTATTTTCAAATACAAAGAAATGCATGTTTCATTATAACACATCAACTTGAAGTCTGGCTTGTTTGATTAATGCATTTTAAAAATATTTTGATAAGTACTTTCTTCAGATTCCATTAAATGAGAAAACTTGTTTTCTTTATCAATTGGCATCAGTATTTTTGGGTGAAGTGTTTCTAATTTTTGTTTCATGAGAATGATGTATGTAGCTTAATAGGAAAAGTGTGTTCTGTGTTTGTACAGGGCCTAGCCCAATAAGGCCCTGGTCCATGACAGGGGCTCCTAGGTGCTACAAAATTACAAATAAGTAATAAAACAGTATTGACTTACAATAAAATTAAGAATGTATGTGGACTTGCATTTGAGACTGATTAATGTGTTACTGATGCCTTTGTTTTTCAGACATGTTTATATTTTGAGACTCGTGATGAAAGAATATTGATTATTGCATTGGAGCCAAGGTAGTTGTGATATGTCGAAATAGATATTTATCATATTTAATAAACACATTACTCTCAAGTGGGCAGCGTAAGATTGGATAATCTCTAGACTAGTAAATATTGTTTTGAAGGGCTTTGGTGTAGTAAGTGATGTAACAGGTGTGTACAGTGTTGTCACGTTGTACCTTTTACTGTGTTTTGTTTTTTTTTAAATGAGATGTTATGTTTTTGCATCTCTTGGGGTGTGTTTTAATATCTTTCAGTTTTTTATTTTTCTTGTAGTAAATGAACATAATTTTTAAATAAATGGGAAGGAGAAACATGGGACTCAGTGGCCTTTTTTCCTAGTTCTGAAAGATGCTGTGAAAAAAGGGAACCAAACACCTTCACCATCTCATGACTGTCTTGAGCAACTGCAGTATAAACCTGAGGTTCTTGCTATTTTTCTTTCCTAGTGCATCGATTTTCACCCCATCTTATTCCTCCCTTCCATCTCTCTCTTTCTTTAATGTCTTAACCAGCCAGGACAAATCTACCTTTCCAACACTCTACAATGTCGCTGTTGTGAGGTGGGGAAATCCTCCTCCCTTTGAATCATTGGTTGCTAGATGTCAATGATTGGGCTTTCTATTATCTTCTTGGAATTTCCATTCATATGGATCAGCTTTGGCCAGTCTTTTTAATGACCCGCTCAGACAGCAAAGTGACACACAAGCCTTGATGTCTCTTAATCTGTCCTGAGAGCAAACTGAGGGCTTGTCTACACTGGCAATTAACAGCGCTGCAACTGTCTCACTCAGGGGTGTGAAAAAACATCCCCCGCTGTAAAGCGCCAGTGTAAACAGTGCCCCGGTGCTGGGAGCTATGCCCCTCATTGAGGTGGGGTTTTTTTAGAGCTCTGGGAGAGCTCTCTCCCAGCACTGCGCTGCGACCACACAAGGCATGTTAAAGCACTGCCAGTGTAGACTAGCCCTTAATTCCCCCCCACTGCTCCCCCGCTGGGTATGTGCAAAGTATGTGGGAAAATGAGGCACATATAGGATTAACAGAAATATTACAGAAAATTACCACTTTGTCACAAGGCTTTGAGACTCTCAGTCCTGAGCTAGGAACCTGTTGAGTGGAACCTCAACTGAAATCATGAGAATCATATGCATTTCTTAAGGATTAAACCTTGTAGTTTATAGTCTGGAGTGGTCTCGTGTTTTTTTTTTTTTTTTTTAAATAACTTTCTATCTAGATAGAGACCCTTGTGTAAGAACACCTCAGCCCTGATTCGGTGACCTACTGTGAGTTAAACAGTGTTGGTAGGAGTCTATTCCACTTGCCTAAAACTACTGCTGCTGTGGAATATAATCCAAATTTTGAGCTGAATATGAACTATCATAGGATCAAATTAATTCATTGTTTACTTTATATCCAACCATAAATTCCCAAGTGGATTTTCTTTGTCTGCATCCTATCCATAAATCCCATTCATTGCCACACTGGCTGAAGCCCAACTCACCTGCATTCAAAGTAATTTTTTGGAGTTCCTTACCCTTTTCTAAGTCGTCTGAAAATTGTCAGACTGCTACAAAATCTCCTCTCAGGTAGGGCATAGGAGGTTTTGTGGCTTTTGTATTTTGAATCTTGCAATGGTGGGCCTGGTTAGCCATGAAAGTCACTCAATGTATTTTGTGTTCAGGAGGGAATTATAATGGCAAGGTCTGAGTTAGCAGCTATTCACAGCAAACTTATATATTTTCTGACCTCTTGTTATGTTTTAGTGCTGTCTTGCTCTGGCTAAGGGTGGCTTATCAACGGATCATGTCCTGATTTTGCCTATTGGGCATTACCAGTCAGTGGCTGAACTTTTTGCAGAGGTGGTGGAAGAAGTAAACCAGTGTTGTTTGAAAGAAATTACCAGAGTCCGCACCTACAGTTGCAGGTAGGGTTATAGCACAGCAGTGGAAGAATACAACCTCAACTGCTTTGAAAGGGGACAGGTCACATTTAAACCTAAGCATAGGCAAACTCCCCTCTTCTCTTTTTTTCCTTCTTGGCATCCCACATGGTAGATAAAAATTCCGTGACCAGTAGATGGGGAACAGGACAAAAGTAAAACCCCTGTGACCACTTAAATGGCCACTTGAACATGCTAATTTTTCCTGTTACAGCAAGTGCACAGAGCTGAGTTTGTTGAAGGACAATGACAATAGACAAGAACGTTTATTGTCTTCAACTGATAAAGACCAGAGAGGCTTCATATAATTGAGGAGGCTTTCCTCTCTGTTTGGGGTACTGAGATATACAGCACATACTTTTAAGCTTTTCTGCCTGACCAAATCTTTGGTCAGTGTCCACAAACATGGATGCTCAGTGACCAGTTTCTGCTGAACTGATTATGGAAGGGTGCATTGTGGTGGTTTTCTGCCTGGCGGATCTGTGACAGTGTCAGAGCGGCCTCAACCTACCACAAAGAGTATAAAGGAGAAGGACAGTCATGAAAACTTTTCCAGAACTTTTTGTTTTCAGTTATTCTTCCAGCTCCTACAAGGCAGACCTGCCTCATAAGTTTAAGTCTGTAGAGACAGGTGATCATCTGTCTCACATGATGACAAGCAGTACTGAGGGGTGTGCAAACCCCCGTGATGGATTTATTGCCTTATCTAGAAGAATAGTATGGTTTGTGTCTTTTTCTTATTGTGTCCTCCATCTCCAGGTGATTCCTGTACCACTCACTGTTGTGCTACTGAAGACATTAAAGAGTCCTCTATTGTACAAGTGCAAGAACAGATCGAATTACTAGAAATCCCAGAGCACTCTGATATCACGCAAGTATGAAACAAGATTTTCACTTCTCATTTATTTAACCTTAATCCATGCTGGTTTGTCATTTCATCGAAAAGTATCCTTACATGACCAGCATTAAGCTGTAGGCAGTTGTTGTAATAGATAATATTGTAGGCCTGATTTTCAGAGATGCTGAGTACTTACTCATCCAGGTGAAGACGTTGTGAGCTGCAAGTGCACTGCATCTTTGAACATTAAGCCCTGTATCAATAATTGCTGTAGGTAGATGTTTTGATGTAGCATTTAATGAAACATTGCTTGTATGACCTCCTATTCCTTTTATTTGAATAAAATCCCTGAGATTCCCATAGGTAGGTGCAGTTTTCTCAGCGGTTTTCTTAACGATTTAATTTATAAAAACACCCTTTATGTTTTGTAGATTAGTCATCTTTCTGTAAATAAAGCTCAGAAGCCTGGGGAAGTCAGAAATGTCTGAGGTGAGGGGATATAAGAAATAAGTCTTCATCTGGTGTGCCAGTCATGTGCACGAGGTCAGCTGAATTTGTTGCTGGAAGAGCAGGTGCAGCTCCATTTGCTCCAGTGGACTCGTACTAGTTTATGCCTTTTTGGTGCACTTGCCTGGATAGAGTTTAGAAAGCTCTTGCCCTTGTTGTTTGATCAATAAGTAATAACTAACAGTAGTGTAGCTTGCTGTGTCCTTTAAACCCATTACTCCTGGGAAATCCGCAGCAGAAGTAGGCACAAGCCAAAAATTAGGTCCCTGCTTTTTCTTTTAATTTGGACACACACTGGTTTACCTTCATGCAAGCTGCCTGGTCAGCACTACACAGAAAAGCCTGACTTCAAGCAAGGCTGAGGCTTTCCTCAGTCTGGCTCAGAGAAAGCTCCTGTGAGGAAATGGGAACAAAAATATTTAACTTCGTAAAGGAGCTAGATGCCATGAATAAAACCAGACTTGCTTTGCACAGTGAGTATTAACACCTCTTCAGTACAGGAAGGGCCAGATCTTACCTCATGATCCTGAGGAGTTGACTGGATAGCTTCTGGGCAATGGCACAGATGTGTTTGTAAAATGCAAAAGTTTAATAATACCCTCTGTGCATTGGGAAGTATAAGGGCTTGATTTTCAGCAGGCTTGGATGTGCAAATAATGTTTATATGTTGAAACCAAACTAAAATAATAATTAAAGATGCTTCATGCTGGGATGTGTAAAACTCCACTAAACTGAGACAAAAACAGCATTAGTCAGACCAACTGCCTTGTTGTGTACAAAACCAGACATCAGCATGAAATGAACTCCTCTGTCCTTGGATCCTGCAGAGCCCCTAACACTACAATTGCTTTACAAACTCAGCATTCTCCAAATGCTTTTCACCATGCACTAATGGTGAGCATATTCAGTCAGTTTCAGTCGAGGGAATGAATTTCTAAGTTGAGGGCCCTGTTCTACCAGCAGCATCCTCTCTGGTAAACCAAGGAGGCTGTACTTTGAGCACTTTCATTGATCTTGTGTCAGCAGCTCACAAGGGCAAAGGCATCTCAGGCAGGCAGGCAAGCCTTAGGCCATCTAGAGCTTTATAGGCCAAAACAGACACCTGAAACTCCACCCAGCCACCAATAAGCAGCTGGTGCAGATCACAGAACACTGGTGGAAGGAGCTCCTGGCAAGTTACCCTATTTATTCTGCAGCAACTTTAGTTTCCAAATGTATTTAAGGTACTATAGCCCCATGTTGCACTAGTGAATGATGAAGGTCTGCATGACAGAGGCCACCCAAATTGGGTTTGACACACACAGTAGGCTAGCTGCCTATCTTGCTGTGTGCATGCAGAAAGTGGGGGTGTGCATGCAATATATTCATGTTCATATGTGCCTAGGAATGTACTGAAAAACAGGACCAGTGAGTTGGTAACAAATTTCAGACATGCACAGTTTTCCCTGCGGTGTTTTATAAATTCATCATCACCATCATCAAATGTGCACAATATACTGAGGGCCATTGCACAGCTGGAGTGACCATAGAACTGGAAGGGACCTTGAGAGGTCATGTAGTCCAATCCCTGCACTCAAGGCAGGACTAAGTATTATCTAGACCATCCCTGACAGGTGTTTGTCCAACCTGCTCTTACAAATCCCCAAGGATGGAGATACCACAGCCTCTCTAGGCAATTTATTCCAGTGCTTAATCACTCTGACAGTTAGGAAGTTTTGGATGATGGCATCGTACCAGATATTGTAGAGTGAAGTTCCCAGATCTAGCTCAATTCTGAAAATTCACGAATCTCTGGGCAGTCCCGCAAGCGATGCCAGGTAGGGTCAAGTTACATCAGTGGAGAGTTTGAGAGCACAATGAGCTGGGATGTTTTTGGCCATCTTGGCAACATGGCCAAAGAGCAAGCAATTGAAGGAAGGCCAAATCTTGCTCAAAGTTGAACCATTTTATGCCCAGCATTTGATGCTGACAGCACATATAGAATGCCTCTAGCTGCTCCAAGTCTGCTTGTAGGAGGGTCCAGGTTTCTGACCCATATAGCAGTGCAGGCAGTACACAGGTTTGATAGATCCTGAACTTTGTCTTAATGCAGAAATATTTTTGCATCCATAGGCGAGACATAGACTTCATTCAAGAGGCAATGAGACCTATTCTTCAATGGATGTCCAGTTTGCTGCAGCTGTTTGAACTCATCCCCACCTGCACCAGGGGTTCTGGTGTCCCAGCTCTGAGGCCTGGTCTACACTACAGAGTTTGTTTGTTTGCAAGGCAGCTTACGTTGACCTAATTCTGTAAGCGTCTACACTAAAATGTTGCTCCCGCCGATGTAACTCGCCCTCTCCGCCGACTTAGTAACTCCACCTCCACGAGAGGCATAGTGCTTAGGTCAACATAGTTTGGTTGACACAATATCAGTGACACTGTATTACTTATGTCTACTTTAGTGGCTTCCAGGAGGTGTCCCACGATGCCCCAGCATAACTGCTCTGGTCACCTTTTAGAACTCCGCTGCCTGGCAGTCAGGTATGCATGTACATGCCCCTCCCCCTTTAAAGCCCTGCCAATTTTAAATTCTATTTCATGTTTGGTTGGTATGGAGAGCTCACATAGCAACTGCCCAGCTGACCATGCTGGCGCCACGCAGCAAAGGTGCTCTTGCCAGGAGTACACAGCAGGTGGTGGATCTCCTTGGTCTGTGGGGAGAAGAGGCTGTGCAGGCACAGCTCTGATCCATCCGTAGAAACGTTGACATCTATGGCCAGATCGCTGGGGGCATGGCGGAGAAGGGCTACAACAGGCACATGCAGCAGTGCCATGTAAAAATCAAGGAGTTGCTGCAGGTGTACCAGAAGGTAAGGGAGGCAAACTGTCACTCTGGTGTGGAACCGCAGACAGGCTGCTTCTACACGGAGCTGCAAGCCTTCCTTGGGGGAGACCACCACCACGAGCCCTGTGGATATTTCAGGGGAGCTGGAATCAGCGGCCCCTGCAGTGCACACTGAGGAGGAGGTGATGCACGAGGAGGAGGAGTTTTGGAGGACAGGCGACTGGGGGAATGCAGTGGTGCAGTGAGCCAGGACCTCTTTCTGACCGCCGGAGAGTCCCTACTATCCAGCACCGGCGAGCCTGATGCAGGGGATGGAACCTCTAGTAAGTATGCTGTTTGTTTTGATTTTGCAGGGACACCTGATCATTTACTCTTTTTTAATCAGGCAAGAAGAGATAGCAACTCTCCCTCTACTGGTTATTTCACTGTCTGCCTCTCATTCCCCTGTACAGCTAGGCAGAGGGGGCCCTGTGGAATAGTTTGTTTTTGTGCATCGGGATGTCCCGGGAATCCTCCATAGAGATCTCAAGAAAACTTTCCTGGAGGAAGTCTGCAGTCCTCTGCTGAAGGTTTCTGGGCAGGACTGCTTTATTTCTTCCACTGCAGTAGGACACTTTCTCACACGAGTGAACAATTACATCAGCAGGCACCAATGCAGCACACAGGCTAGCAGCATACGGATCCAGTCTCCAGCCAGACTCGTTCAGGAGCTGTTCTCTCTCAGCCTCTGTTACCCTTGGGAGTGAGATATCAGCTAAAATTACCACCGCCTGTGGAAAACAGTGCCAGTATTCCATTCAGTTGCCTTATCGACATATACTGATGCCCATGTGCTCACCCCTATTATTGTCCAAAATCGCCCACTTATTCCCCCGGGCCATAATCATCATGGCTAAGGCTATGTTTTAGTCATGGGTATTTTTAGTAAAAGTCATGGACAGGTCACGGGCCGTAAACAAAAATTCACGGCCTGTGACCTGTCCATGACTTTTACTAAAAATACCCTCCCTGACTAAAACTTGGGTGGGTGGCCATGGGCCCTATGGGAGGGGCGGTCCGGGGGTGCTGCTGGAAGTGGCCTGGGACCCGTGCTTGGGGGTGGGTGGGTTGGCAGGGCTGGCAGGGGCTTCCTACCCTGCTTCATGTCCTTGCAGCTCCTAGGTGGCGGAGGCAGGGGCCCCTCTGCTCCCGCCACAAGCGCCGGCTGCCGCAGCCCCCATTGGTCGGCAACCGCAGCCAATGGGGGCTGTGGGGGTGGGGCCTGCGGGCAGCATGTGGTGTGGATCACCTTGCCCCTCCGCCGCCTAGGAGCTGCAAGGGGGCCATGTCAGTGGGAGCCAGGGAGCCTCCCACCCCAAGGTAAGTGCCCCTCCCCCATACTCCCCCTTCCCCTAGCCCTGAGCCCCCTCCCACACACCCAAACTGCTGCTGTTGGCCCAGGGGCTGCCCAGCTTGGGCAATCCCTGAGCCAGCACCAGCCGCTGCAGAAGTCATGGAGGTCACAGAAAGTCACGGAATCCGTGACCTTTATGACAGACTCGCAGCCTTAATCATGGCTGGGACTGCTGCCGTGCTCTATGAATCCCAAGGGAGCATGTAGTGCTTGTAACTTGTGTGGATCAAGGGGAGTGAAAACACTCACAATAGTACCTCTATGCATTGTGCTTTTTGCAGCTGGAAATGTGGCCTTGAGGGTCTCTCCATCCACACCACTGGAGTGGCTCAGATGATGAGAAGAAAGGGGATGAGGGACGACATGTTCCACGAGATCCTGCAAGCCTCTGGTGTTGCACATACCGAGCAGAGGGCTTGGAGGAGCACCCTTGTGGACAGAATGGAAAGGGATAGTGCAGAGAGGAGAAACACAGAGGAAAAGGACAGACACACGCAGCAGGTCATGTTAGTGCTTCTCAAGCGCCAGATGGACATGCTGGAGATTCTTATAGACCTTCAGGTCCAAGTAATCCTTGCTTGCCTCCCACTGCAGTCTATTGATAACTGCATTCTGGGACCTCCCTATGCTCCCTGCCCCTACATTTCACATATATTTCGGGGCCACTGCAGTACCCCTACCCACTCCATCCCGAGGGAGAGTACACACAATCAGAGCTGCACGTACACTGACCTATGAGAGACACGGTTGGTGTATTTGTGTTTGAAATGAGAATGACTGTTCTTTCCCTGTCAAAGGTTCTTTTCCCTGTATTTATATAGTTTCATTCAGTTACAGTTATTTTTGTTTGCATGAGTTTGGAATAAAAGTCTATTTATGGAAACTTAATTCATCTTGAATAGTTCACAACATGTGGTAGCTGGGGCTGACATCCTTCAAAGATAATAGCAATAGGTGCACTTGCAATGTGTTATTACCACACACACAGCACTCATAAGGTTCAGACCGGAATGCTAAAAAACAATGCCAAGCAGAGAACACTACAAGAACACTCATTACTGTGCCTCACTTTTGAAATGGTCTTTCAAAGCCTCTCTGAGCTGTAAAGCTCTCTGTTGAACTCTTCTTATAGCTCTGGTATCTGGCTGCTCAAAATCAGCAGCCAGATGTTCCACCTCCGTATTCCACCTTGGCAGAAGCTTTCCCCTTTTGCTTCACAAATATTATGAAGCATGCAGCAGGCAGCTATAATCCTGGGGATATTTTCTTCATGAAAGTCCAATCCCGTGAGTAGACAGCGACGATTCAAACAGCCAAAAGCACCTTCAAGAGTCCTCCTGCACCTGCTGAGCCTGTAGTTGAAGCGCTCCTTGCTGTTGGCAAGGTGGCCGGTGCAAGGTTTCATGAGCGATGGGAGTAATGGGTAGGCTGGGTCTCCAAGGATCACTATTGGCATTTCCATATCCTCAATGGTAATCCTCTGGTCTAGAAAGGAAGTCCCTGCTTACATCTTTCTGTGTTTTTAAAGATGCGCAGGTCATGCACCTTCCCTGATCAGCCCATGTTGATGTCAGTAAAACATCCCTGGTGATCCACCAGTGCTTGCAATACCATAGGAAAGTAGCCCTTTCTGTTGATGTACTCCTTGGCAAGGTGGTCTGGTGCCAAAATAGAGAGATGTGTGCCAGCTATTGCCCCCATTGGAATTTAGAAACCCCACTGCTGCAAAACCATTCAAAAGGTCCTGCATGTTGCCAAGAGGACACAATTAATGGCCTTGCACACTTGCATCACAGCAACCCCCCGGTAGATTTCCCAACTCCAAATTAATTCCTGACTGATTGTTAGGAATCTGGCATGGCCAGCTTTCACACAGTGATTGCCACTTGCTTCTCCAGCATGAGTGAAGCTCTCATTTTGATGTTGCTGCACTGGAGGGCTGGGGCGAGCTTTGTGCACCATTCCATTAATGTGGTCTTGTGCATCCAAAAGTTCTGCAGCAACTGCTTGTCATCCCAAACCTGCATAATGATGCGATTGTGACCGAATCCAGAGGTCCGGTGCTCTCACACGGCTGTGGAACAGCCCCTAGGAGGACTCCTTCAGTATGTTACCCCCTGTGATGGGGCAGAGCGGCCCCGCACTGGTACCGTGGGAGTTAACCCTTCCTTCCTTGCAGAGGAAGCCATGCCCCGGAAGCTCTGCTGGGCATGCTCCAACTGGAGATCAGGTATAAAAGCCTGCAGATCAGTTCAGTCTGGGCTGACCACCGGAAGAGAAGGACGCACGCTGCTAGCTCCTGAAGAGAGAGAGCCTGCGTGCCAGGATCCAGGAGTCAGCCAAGCCGAGGCACTACCTGAAACCCCGACGGGGGACGTCACGGGGAGAAACAGACCGGATGACCCCCCCACCCCAGATGAACTGGTATTCATGGTAGGAAGTGACCCAGGGGAACTCTAGAGACAAACAGCGTTAGAGCTGTGGTGACACTTGGTGTGTTGTGGCCAGATCCCTGCCGAGCGTGAGGCAAGGAGAGCTTGCCGCTACCAGGGCCCTGGGTCGGGGCTCGGTGGAGAGGGCGGGCCCGAGTCCCCCTACCCCCTCACCGTGAGGGATCTTAGATAGACTCTGGCCGCGAGGCCGCGTTATCCCACTCGTAAGGGGGTTTATATGGACTCTGGCTGCGAGGCCGCGCTACCCCGCTCGTAAGGGGGTTTATATGGACTCCGACCGCGAGGCTGCGCTACCGTGCCAGACAGGGGTGATAGTAGAGAGGAAGGCCAAGAGGCCGTCACTGACCCCCCACAGAGAAGTGAACGTAATGACTCGGGAGTGGTGAGGCGCTGGCACCCCTTCCTACCTCTGCGACAAAGGGAGCAATGCACCCCTAAATTCCTTAATCAGGAGTGACTCTGACAGTATTGTAAAAAGCAGAAG